CAGTCTCCCCCCGGAAGGTCTCAGGTTGTTCTTTTCCGTTTCCTGACCCCTACTTTCTGTCTTTTTTCTTGCTCAAGGCTTGATAGGAGCTCAGTCCTAAACGAAAGCTATACCTTCCCTGGCAAGCTCCAATAAGGTCTCTCATTTAGAGAAACTACCCTTCAGGGTTTTGTAAGAGAAATCATTCTGCATTTCAATATCCTCAGAAAATAGTGCTTAAATTCAAATGTGCCCTTCCCACAGACCTTTTTTCTTTTGAAGCAATGATATCCTTAATATTAGGGAGTTAACAGAAGAAAACAGGATATATTTCTTCCATGGAAGAAGGACACCAAGATTTCTCTCTGAGACGTTTTAGAAAAAGTTGCAACATTTTTAAAAAATTCAGTGAAGAGAAGGGAATGTTATTGACCACCCCACCCCACCCCCAAAAAAAGTTGTCATTTACCTACAGGTTTATAGATTATGAACTAGAAAAAAATCTGCAATTTTTCAAGATTCTTCTGACAAAAAAGTTCTTTGGAATCATTTTTTTCTAAGAGCTGAAAATTTTTTCTAAGAGGATTCCAGCTCTATAAACAACCTTTCTGATCTCTTGAAAAGCCAACATTTAATAGTGCTATGTATTTTTGGTTTATAAGAAAAAAGTTCAAGAGAAAAAGCCATAACCAAAAGAGTAAGTCTATTGTATTCGTGCCTCGAGCTGTACATAATAATTTCACAAAATACATAAGAAAGGATTAATATTTTTCATTAAAGGTAGAATATATACATATCTGTGCATAGATTCAATGGTTAGGTATGAGAAACACAGCCCGTCCCTCCACTTTCTCACCCCAAACCCAGTGCGGAAAAAGGCTTATCTGAAGAGACACAGCCATGGAGCAAGATTTCTAATAGGTACCAAAATCAAAGGCTGAAAAAGCAAAAATAAACAAGTAGAATTACATCAAACTAAAAAGCTTCTGTACAGCAAAGGAAAACCATCAACAAAATAAAAAGGCAAACTATGAAATGAGAGAAAATATTTGCAAGTCAAATAACTGATAAGAGTTTAATATCCAAGATATATAAAGAATTCATGTAACTCAAGAGCAAAAAAGCCCACAACCCAATCTGATTTTAAAATGGACAGAGGAACTAAATAGACATTTTTTGAAAGAAGACATACAGATGGCCTACAGGTAGAGCAACGTTACTAATTATCAGAGAAAGGCAAATCAAAGCCACAATAAGATATCACCTCACACCTGTTAGAATGGCTATTATCAAAAAGATAGTAAGGGGTCCTGAGGATGTGGAGAAAAGGGAATCCTTGGATATTGTCAGTGGGGTTGCATATTGGTGCAGACACTATGGAAAACAGCTTTCCTCAAAAAATTAAAATAGAGCTACAATATGACCCAGCAATCCCACTTCTGGGTATATATCCAAAGGAAATAAAAGCAGGACATCAAAGAAATATGTGCCTCTGTGTTCACTACAGTATTGTTTACCCAAGATATGGAAATAACTTACATGTCCATCAACAGATGAATAGATAATGATGTGTGTGGGAACGTGGTGAGTCAATGTAAATAATTAAATATTATTCAGCCATGAGAGAAAGGACATCCAGCTATTTGGGACAACATAGATATCACTTATATTTGGAATTTTTTAAAAAAAGCTGAACTCATAGAAACAGAGACTAGAACCAGGGGACAGAGGAAACGGGGAGGGGAGTTCAGCTTTAGATGATTAAGTTCTGGGAATCTAATGTCCTGCATGGAGATTATGACTTATACTTCTGAATTACATACTTGGACTTTGCTAAGAGAGTATATCTTAAATATTCTCGCCCCCAAAAAAGAAACAGAAATTATGTGACATGATGGAGGTGTTAGTTAATGCTATGGTGGTAATTATTTTGTAATATATAAATGTATCAAATCAACACACTGTATACTTAAACTTACACAATGTTATACGTCAATTGTCCTATATAATAAAGAGCTAATATGCTAATTAGACTGGACAGCGAATGACCTTCCAGAACGATTAGTGGGTGGGGGTGGGGGCTGTGGGGCCGCGAGGCAGCTGGGGCTGCAAGAGCCTACTCTTGCATGAATTTTGCGCATCGGGCCTCTAGTATCTTAATAAATCTGAAACATATTTCTAATAGAATCAAAATGGTTCAGTGACACAATTATAGGCTTTATTAATACTAAGACAATGATAACTATTTAAATATCCAATAAAAATAATACAAGTTAGCCAAAAATCTAGGTAAGACAAAAAATGTTTGTCTCACATTTCCCTAAAAGACTAAATAAAAAGAATCTATGGAATTACTTTCATGTCAAATGAATTTTTAAATGTTAATTTTACCATAAAATTCACTGGAATCAGTCCCCTAAAGAATTTGTCAAATAACTGGTGTGCTTGAATATTTCACATTTCCACTTATTATGTTATAGTTGTCAAGACATAATCTAAGTCTAATGGGCTTCAAACAGCACTTAAAGAAACACAAAGAAGGAAAGTTGGAAGCCAAGGAAGATAATTCTGAGATAAAGGCTGAGTAGAGTAAAAGACAGAAATCTACTAGAGACCTTATCAGGAGGCAGTGCTACACTCCGCTGCATTATCAATGACCTGTAACCTCTTTTCCAGCTCACAAGCAAGCCTTGAGTACTCTGGGACTAAGTGGTTGTTTTAAAAAGTTCTTGTGTCATATTTACTTTTTCCTACGACCCTTATCAGAAGCCTGATGTACTCAAGCTACATAATTCACATGCTCCAATTACCTACCTAACAGCATACCCAAGAGGAATAATCAGAAGCATAAAATGCCACCCTCATAAAAAGAAAAATGAGAACTAGGATTTAAAATGAACCAGTTCATGCCCTGGCTGGTTTGGTTCAGTGCATAGCGCATTGGACTGGGGACTGGAGGGTCCCGGGTTTGATTCCAGTCAAGGGCACATGCTCGGGTTGTGGGCTCGATCCCCAGTGGGGGGGTGGGGGGTGCAGGAGGCAGCTGATCGTGATACTCTCTCATCATTGATGTTTCTATCTCTCTCCCTCTCCCTTCCTCTCTGAAATCAATAAAAATATATTAAAAAAAATAAAATGAACCAGTTCATTTTTAAGGGCATAGACATAGATAAATGGCATCAACACTGTGCTCTTGGTAACTATAAAAAGAACATATAATAGAGTTGATTTTTTTATTTAAAAAAGGGCACCATTTCATTAATAAATATATAAGTCCTTAACTTAAAATGAGTTATCTCCTATCTAAGTAATAACTAAGGCCAACCTTGCTTAGCTTCTGAGATTAAATGAGACTGGGCATGTACATGAGGGGTCAAAATATATAGTGACAGAAGAAGATATGACTTTGGGTGGTGGGTATACAATATACAGATGATATATCGTAGAATTACACACTAGAAACCTATACAATCTTATTAACCAATGTCACCCCAATAAATTTAATTTTAAAAAAATTAAATGAATTGTATTACCAAAGGCCATTACTTCATGGAGCTATTTCCACATAAAATACTGTAAGTGGTGATTCATTTCCAAAGCTACTGACATAGTACAGTGCTGACTGAATTTTGGTAAAAGTACTTGCAATGCCTCAAATGCTTATTAGTAGTTCAAGTGAAAGTATAGGAGCTTGGCAAAACAGAACTCCAAAAAGTGGATGTCAGGGATTCCATATAATCCAACACGCTCACACAACTATAATGATGGGTGATTTTTTCTTAAGAGAGGGTCTACAGCTTGCCTGAAGCTCTCGAAGTGGTTGTCCATAACCTCAAAAAGGGGAGGAACTTCTGTGTTATATAAAACCCATCTCTTTCCCACAAAGCCCTCAGGTAGATGATACCAGTGAAATGAGGCATCTCGAGGAGTTATGGTCTACACATGTTCACATACAACGGTAATTTCATAGTGCAAAACTATCAAAAACCTTCTGGAAAAACAAAGTGGATGAAATCCTAGACCAGTGGTTCTCAACCTTCCTAATGCCATGACCGTTTAATACAGTTCCTCATGTTATGGTGACCCCCAATTTCATTGTTACAAATTGAACATAATTAAAGCATAGTGATTAATCACAAAAACAATATGTAATTATATATATATGTTTTCCAATGGTCTTAGGCGACCCCTGTGAAAGGGTCGTTTGACCCCCAAAGGGGTTGCAACCACAGTTGAGAACCGCAGTCCTAGGGTAAAGAACACATTTCAACATTTTACGGGATCTGAACTGCCAACATAAGATGACAGGGGAAGTTCATCTGAACTAGAGGCTGGTGATCCCAATGGTACCCATTGTAAAGTACATTTTGACCAGTCAATAGTGTTTGTCTGTCTGCTGACTTACCTGCAAGCAAATATGTCATAATGTTTATATTTGTAAGAAGTCACTTAAAATTTTTTTCTTGTCCTAGACAAATCACATGGACAAAAATTTACCACACTTTTGTTACTATTATCTTTAAAAGGAAAATCCATCTTTTATGTATATATAATTCAAGCAAATAATAATGTGTATTTAAATATTAAGCCAAACATGTAATACAAATGAGTATACCTTTTTTATTAATTTTGATCATGAATTTTTGGACAATAACTCCCTTTTACTAGTATATCATTTTTAATGTGAATTTCAACTTTACCCAAAAGTTTCTATAAAGTAATATAATGAAATTCAGATACTGTTCTTTCCTTAATTGAGGACAGTTTATTGGTTTCGACTTTTTCTTTCAATAAATTTGAATTGCACAGACTATAAGGCTATTCTAATCAACAATGCAAATTCATATTCATACCTACTTAAAATGTTATTGTTTGCTTACCTTTTATTTCAAACCATGAGTCTACAGCTAAGCCATATGTCACTTCATCTCTTTTACCTCTCTCAAAACATGATTATACTTCTTAACACACTAGCAACTATTTTTTTACTGGAAAGCTTTTCACAAGACAATGCCACTCACCCCTCCTGCCTTCAGCAACTTTCTTCTAAAGTCTTCCGTGGGGTTGTTGAAAGTTAGCTTTTCACAGCGGAGGTGATTCACTGGTGGATGGCCTTCAAGATGCAGGAATAGGTCATAATCAAAGCGAACTTTCTTGGGTTCTTCCTAGAGGTTGGAAAAAATTAAGAAAGAAAAGAAAAGAGTTAGACATAAATAGAAATTTAGAAAGCAAAGATTAAGATGTCTCGTAAGAAACAGAAAAGATGTCTAACAGCTATAATGTCAAAGAAATACGGGAGGAAAAATTACCATGAAATTATCAACAAAGCAAAAGAGAAATATCAAATAAATTAGTTTCTTATGTTAGGGGAAAACCAAAAAGAATAAACTCATCATCTTTCCTACAGGCTTTCAAGTGGGATGACACCACCAACACAGCCTAGAAAAACTAAGACACCCCTGAAGCCAATCTACCTTCCTATTCCCAATCTACCTTTCCACTCCCACCATCACCCCCACCATTGTCTCTCCCAAACATTTCTTGAATAAGCCCTCTAAATCTACCGTGTGGACCCTGAGAAAGCAGATACTTACTAAGAAGGGCTCCAGATGGCTAACTGGGCTCAAATTTTAAAAAACAACCTAGTAGCCATTTCTACACAGGGGCCTCTCACACAACTGCACTTCAAGAAGAAGCCTGCACTGAACTGCCTGCCTGCGCCCTGTTTCTGCCCCTGAGCCAGCCCTTATAAAGGAGTGCCTGGAATCCTATTTCAACCAATAGGACTGAGGCTTTCCCCATCCTTTTGAAGCTGCACAGCTATAGTCCCATCAACATCTTTCCTGACCAATCAGAGCAGCTCTATTCTGACCCAGCAGGTAAGTGCCTTTTGGGTCAATTGAATGGCAAGGATTCGGGGTCCTCATTTGCATGAAGATAGATCAATCAAGGACCAGGAACTGGGACTTCTGTCTACGTAAGCCAGGTCCCTATGACTATGGGAGTGTATCTTCCCTTTCCACCAAAGATTGAAGCCTGTGTTTCCCTGGCTGAGCTAAACACCGAAGATGTCTCATGGGAGCAAAGTGGAGGAGACCAGCACAGGCCAGAGCAGACTGCTACAGAAAGGAGCAGACCAGAGCAGTGCGAGGCAGACCAGCAGGGAGTGGAGCAGAGCTGTCCAGGGTGGGGATGGTCCCGGCCCCCCCAGGGCTGCCTCACAGTCATGCTGTTTTCCCAGCTGTGCTGTATCACTATCCAGCTGTTTTGCACTGAATACAGTTTCCTGCTTCACTACACCACAAACTGGGGATTCCTGTTGATATTGAATTGGTGCCAGTGACCAAGTGTTGCCACTGTCAACCTCTAGTACTCACTGCCCGAACTACTACAAACTCCTTTCTCTAGTAGGTCTTCGTGCTTTAGGATTATTTTCAATTTCTCATTCATTCGGCCTCAAAATTATTGACAGGGTGGGGCTAAAGTAGGTTGAAAGATGTTCATAAATTTCTATGGTCAACTATAAACCTACTTTTTGCCACACCCTACATATTAAACAAAAACTTATCCATTTTTACTACTTGATTAAAATGTCAACAGCTTCCAATTGCCACTAGGACAAAAATTTAACCTCACATGGATGTCATATAAGAGCTTTCATAATCTGGGTCTTGGGTCCATTTTCCTGAATGAGAAGAACAAAACAGCATCATATCCAAGGGAACACAATAATGAGAATTTCATGATACTCAAGTTCTACTCCTGAGCCATTAGTTTAGTTGGCTAAACATTTAAACCTCTCTACGCACTGATCCTTTAGCTTCCATGGGGAAATAAAGACTGTGGATAATAATAACAGTAACTAATATAAACTTTAACATTTATTTCATGTGGACCAGTGGTGAGTTGTTTTAAAGATTAAGAAATTAAAGCACTTAGAATTTGTTATATTACTTTATATAAAAATCCCTGTGCATTACAGATATTAACCATCCCATGAAATGTTACAATTTTTTTTGTTTGCTATCAGCTTTGCCTTTTCTGTTTTCTGTTTTTTAATAATAGCTTTATTGAGAATAATTCACAAACCATAAAATACACCCTTCTAAAGTGTACAATTTAGTGGCATTTTGTATATAGAGTTATGAAACTATCACCACCATCTAATTTCAGAACATTCTCTCACTCCAGAAATACACTTAAAACACATTAGTAGTCATTTCCCATTCGCCCAGGTACCACTAATCTACTTCCGTTTTTATGGAGTTGTCTATTTTGGACATTCCATGAACATATATAAAATATACACACAATATATAATTTTTGTGACTGATTTCTTGCAGTTAGCATGATGTTTTCAGAGCTCCTCTATTTTGTAATGTGTAATATGCACTTAGTTCCTTTTATGGCTAAATAATATTCAGTTGAACGGTACACCAGCTTTTTTTATCCACTTCTTGGTGGATAGACACGTGGGCTGTTGCCACTTTTTGACTGCTATGAAAAAATGCCGTCATGAGCATTTGTGTGCAAGTCTTTATGTGAACCTGTGTTTCCATTTCTTTTGAGTATACACCCAGAAGTGAAATTTCTGGGTCACTCTATTACTTGGTAACTCTATGGTTAACATCTCCAGGAACTGCCTTACTGTTTTCCAGAATGGCTGCAACCTTTTTAAAATCTCACCAGCAACGTATCAGGTGTTGGTGGTATTTTCATACATTAAAAAGTTACATAGTCAAACAAAGCAATGTTTCTCTTTACCAACCAGAGTTTGTTATATTACTAACACGTGATGAGACAAAGTGATTCAAACCCAGTTCTTTTGACTCAAAAGTCTGGGTACTTGAAACTGTCAGGATGTACCTACAAATTCAATGTTTCCACCTCCTCACCCAAACTTCCCCAAATCATAGTCTCCACTCATTTGCTCACTACCCCTTCACTTCTCCTATCAATCTGCATGAAACCTGCTCGCGTTTTTAACTGGGATGCCATTCTTTCCTGACTACAAGCTCACACTTAGTATCATTCCTTCTCAGCCTTCCTTGCATTTCCCTTCTTTCTTCATTGACCCATACATCGCCTTTAACTTTTGCAAAGTTCCCCAGGGGGATGACACCCACTCACAGGGAGTCGGTCCTGCCAACAGGACTGTGACCCCACCCCCATCTGTATCCCTAGTCCAGCCCTTACTTGGCCACACGCATGTGTTCCACAGTCTACACACATCTCTGCTAGGTTGTTGACCCGCAGAAACATCAAATCCATCCATTCTCTTAAACTGAAGCTGTATTCATCTGCCCTTTTTCCTATACTTTATTCCTAGGCAAACAAGAATCCTAACTGCTTGCCAAGATTAAAATACACAAAAAATCATCCCCTACCCTATTCTTCCTTCTCTCTCACTTATCACAGTCAAATTCTCTCCAACTTCTGTTTAGTATTCCTTCTCAGGAACTCTCAGCTCTATCCCCTTTACTCCGGTTACCATAACCAGTGCCTTAGTTTAGACTAGACCTTCACCATTCCTCACCTCATCACTTCCCTGTTTTTGAACTTAACCTATCCTACCTCCCCCAGTGACAAGAGAGTGGTCTTTCTAATACAAAAGTTAGATTACATCTTTTCATTGATATAAAAGCCTTTAATGAAGTATCATTTTCTACAGGATAAAATGCCACTTCCTTAGAATAACCACCATAGTCATTTAATACCTTCCCTGCATTTGTTTCCTTTGTTCTCTCACTACACCCTATCCTGCTGTAACTTTGCAGTTCCCCATTAATGTGCATCACCTCATTCACTCAGCCTTTCCCATATAGTGTTCCCCATGCCTAAAATGCCTTCCCTCCCAGGAGACCTCCCTCCCTTGCCCACCTAATGCAAACTCATTATTCAAGATGCAACTAAAGCATGGAATCCTCTGAAAAGTCTTCCTAACTCTCCAAATAAGACATTGCTCTTATAGCATTGCTTTATTAATGTAACTATCACATTGAATTATGATCAATGTTCATTTATCTGTTTTCCTCTAAATTGTAAAACAGTCCATACAACCTTTAAAAGGGGGTGGGGCTTTTCCCAGGGTTATAATTTGAAGTATAAAGCCTTTTGGAAAGACATATGGGCAATATCAATCAACATACTACATGCATATGATAGCCTGACCCAGTAATTCTCTTTAGAAGCTTTATTCCCTTGACTTCATTTAATCATTCTTAACTATTTGATACAGTCTCTCCATAGATAAAATTTACTAGTATGTCAATGTAGATAGAGATTAGCAGGCACATAATATATCATACTTTAATATTTTTCTGTGACTTGCCTTTAATTCACTTAGGAATATGCCTTTTCAAGTCCGTATTTTAAAATATCTGAGTTGTATTTCTCTTTTTTTTGGCAGTGGCTTTTATTTATTTTAATTTTGTTTTATTGCTTAAAGTATTACAAAGAGTATTACATATGTCTCCTGAGTTGTATTTCTTTGTAATGATATACTCACCTGCAGATCATTCCTATTTTTTTACTATTATAAACAATGCTACCACAAACACTGCTGAATATATATATTTGTTGAGTAAACTCTAAGGATGAATAAAATGATAACTATCCAAGCCGTGCAATATTTCAACGACTCAGTTTCCTTTCCTTAAAACTAGGAATATTACTTATGTCTCAGTAGTTCTTGTAAACCTACTAAATGATGCAATATATGTAAATGGCTCAGAGACTGCCAAGGACAAAGCAAGCATTCAAATACTTAATTACACAGAAATAGGTAACTGTCAAACATCCTCCCAAAATATAAATTAGAAACAAACAAATCAACAATAAATGGGGGTATGGGTTGCAGATCTGTAGGGAGGTAGTGTACCAGGAATGTAGTACATGAGGAGATGCGCTCAAAAAGAAACAAAAAATACGAAAAACAAAATTTATCCTGACATCCAGACATTCGTGTTTGTTAGAATAGTCTTATAATAGGTTAATTAAAAGTGAATTATCCCTTAATCTTTTAAGAGATTTTTGCTGGGCCTTCGACCCATTGAAAAAGCCAGTGGGACACTGTGGCAGTGGGAGGTACTGGGCATGAGAGAGTGGCTTCTCAGTGGTTCTCCTACTTCACTGTGCATGAGAATCACCCAAAAGCTTAGCAGATATGCAGACTCCTAGGCCCTAGTCCAGAGATTCTGCTTCAGATTTGGGATACAGCCTGAGAATCTCACTTCTAGCCTGCTCTTCTTGGGTGATGTGGATGTTGCTGTACAAGGACCACACTTTATGGAGCACTGGCTTGGCGAACATGACAGCCTACTAGCTCGGTCCCTTTAAAAAAGGGGGTGGGGAGGTGGGGGTGAATTATATCACTTTTGGGCAAGTTCTAGAAACTATGATTACTTTGGAATAAATGGAGGGAACAGTGTCCTTAAACATAACATAGCATTTACTAAGTGCTTACATATATTTGAATTATTATTCTAAACACTCAGCTTTACGGTATCTAAAGGACCTACAGTATTTACAGGATCTAGCCACCTTCTGGGGTAGATACTCTTATTCTATCTCCATTTTATAAATATGAAAAGTGATCCCACAGAGGTTGAGAAATTTGTCCAATATTTTATAGTCTGTATGTTTTGCCACATTTGTTAAGTGTTGGAAGCTTTTAAATCCAGCAGAATCCATAATATCTCAAGTTGATATAATTCTATATGCATATCATGTGTGTGTGTAGCAGCTAAAGATGACATATTATTCTTTGTAAGCCTAAAAATTCTAGAAATATGAAAATGAGGAAAGGTGTATTTCACTGAAAAACCATAATTACTCATTTCTTTTTTAAAAACATATTTATCTTCTTTTTCAATAGAAATCACTCTCCTCTTAAAAAGAACATTTAATAATTTCATATAATCTGACTTCATATAATTGAAATTATCTTTTTCTAGCTACTTCCTCTGTAATTAAGGGGAACAATAGCTAAAATTCATAGAGGACAAATTTAACTTTATTTTAAAATCATCTAGAGATAGAAGAGCTTATGAATCAAAACTATTTTAAATATCATTTGGTTAATGGAGGATCTTCTAATGAAAAATTAATGGGTAAGGATTACATACCTTGTTTTTAAAATAAACCTCAATTGGCAAAATGAAACCAGCATACCCAGATTCTTCTACTTTGTAAGGTGGATCTTTGCACACTGAAACATTAAAAAGAGAAAACAGGTGAGATGAGAATAATAGACCAAGAGACAGTTTCCTTTCCTTTACGAAAAAAACCCATTCTACCATCTAGATCAGTGATGGCGAACCTTTTGAGCTCGGCGTGTCAGCATTTTGAAAAACCCTAACTTAACTCTGGTGCCGTGTCACATAGAGAATTTTTTTGATATTTGCAACCAGAGTAAAGCAAAGATTTATATTTTTCATATTTATTTTATATATTTAAATGTCATTTAACAAAGAAAAATCAACCAAAAAAATGAATTCACGTGTCACCTCTGACAGGCGTGTCATAGGTTCGCCATCACTGATCTAGATCATACTCAATTTTCACAGCCCTTTGCCAGGCCCCCATCTGCATCTCTGATCTATCCTTTATTTCTTCTCCAGTATCCGTAATAACTTTTCCATGTAAAGAAAATATGTAAATTATCACAGCCAACCATGATTATTAATGACTTTATTTTAGTTGTTATCACCTGCCCTGCTTTTGGGAAACTGAGGAAAACTCCTCCTGGCCCAAAGGGTGAAAGTGTGCTAACGCAAGTACTACTTACGTCTTTGATGTGAATCACTCCACCCCTAGGCTCCTCACTTCTCTGAGATACCCTGATTTCTATGCCTAAAAGTGGCAGGAGCCCTTCCTTCCTTCGAAAATCCCAAATCCACAGTCTCCCAATGTTGTTGATGCCCATTAAGTCGCTATTTCTCACTTCACCCTAATATGAATGCTTACTGAAATATTGGTATACACACAAACACTTAAAATCTATTCACATCATACAAATATATGAGAAACAATACGGCTTTTGTGTTTCTTATGAAGGAAGGCTATTAGGTAAGCTCTTGGGAAATGAGAGACACCCTAAGAAGCTAAATATTATTTCATCCCACTAAAATTTCCATTAAGTCAAACTGGAGTCATTCTAGTTAAGCCTGCATTTGGGGTCTTGAAGAAATTCCAATTTCTTCACGAGGCCTTTCCAAACCACAAAGTACTATCATCTCTTCTCCCTTTATCCTCCCAAAGCATTAACTATCTGAACCACTGGTTCGATACCCAACAGAGTTCCTTATGACTCTATACTCAGGAGTTTCATCTGTAATTTCCTTTCATTCCTCAGAGACCGAAATATTTACCGCAGGAACATGAAGAGTGTTAAGGGCTCAGGCAAACCTGGGTGGCCATCCAGGATCCACCTCGGACTAGCCAAGCCACGCTCTATCTACAAAGTTACTCAAATTCTCTGAACCCCATGTTTCTCTTCTGGACAGTGTAGGGATTAAACAGGATGATGTACGGAAAAGACACAGCACAGATCCTGGAACACAAAGTTTTCAGTAGTGACTGAAGTGAGGCAGGGAATCTAACCTGTAAAATCTAACATGTAACCTTTTCAGCTAAGAAGAGAAAGGAGGCAGCAAGTAGAAAGCCCTGGATTTGGATTAGAAGATGGGTCCACAGCCCTGGACTAAGAATTCTCCAGACAACTTCCATTTCCTTTCACTTTAAAAGGGAATACAACATCTACGCATCTCTAAGCACGACCTTCAAAATGCAAGAAAACCACATAAGTGTGAGGCATTTTTATTACAGACGACTATGATGATGTACATGAAAACAGGTTAGGCATTCCACAAGTACACATGTGGTTACAGAGAGGTATGCTGAAGATAGGATGTTAACATTTGGCTGTCTCCTTTAGTCCACCTTAGAACCAATTCTCCAACTGACATCGGAAGTTAATCAGGAATGAGGGATCTCACCTGACCTTACAAGTTTCTCTAATAAAATATGAAAAAGCACAAGAGTGGCTTGGTCCTTCACCCACTGACCACCTGCCAACCTGTCATGGATATTCAAATACCCTGAACACTGAGGGTGGGAGTAACGCTACTAAATGCACTGAGCACTCCCAACCGCGCCCCAGCTAGAAGGCTAGCATTATACCCTCAACCTTTCTGGGCTGCAGAGCCCCTTTTTAGAACAGCAATTTCAGTGTCCAGGTTGTTGGGATTAATCGCGCCAATGTCATTTGAAGGAAGTTTATTCTGCGGGTTGCTGTACATGCCAGAAGTTATAGCTGCTCCTCTATACACCCTTTTGTATAATTCATTTTCTCTATTCTGCATGCAAATTGCTCCTAATATAGGAAACAGCTGTTAGTGAGCATATCTCATAGTTGAAAGTGTTAGATTTTTTTCCACCCTCTAAAGGAAATGATGTTATGTATTAATATTCCAGAGAAGTCTGGTATTATAAGAAACTGTTTACCAACACATACCTCAATTATTTTAAAATGAAATACTTTCATAAATAACAATGAACAATGTCTGAGTTCTTCATTAGAAGCAAACAATATTTTATACACAATAAATATGCCAGACAATCAGTAGCAATACAAAAACAAACTTACAGTTCTGACTGAAGAAAGTCAAATTAGGGGGAATAGTTTGCTTGTTTATTTGTTCGTGTATCTTATAACCAGAATCGTTAATATGAGTTTCTAACCCAGTTCATAAAAAGAAACAGGAGTTAAAACTAAGAAATATTTTAGCCAGTAGGGATAGTACATTAGACATAAAGCATTATTTTGAAACTAATAGAACCACATTTGGGATCTCCTTCTGTCATTCAACAACACTTCTTCATTAAGAATCCCTTTGCACAACGGTGGTATCATAGACAATTAGGTTTATCTGAGACACTATTATTGCTCATTGAGAATCCCTTTTCTTGGTCACTGACCACACTGTTACCTTTATAAGATCTAAGCATCTAAAACCCTTCAACTCATTTTTCCCCTCAGCTGTTCAAGAATTAGATAATCCCTAAGAACTATGTAATAAAAGGCCAGGTTTCAGAAGTTATTGAAGGGGATATTCATCTTTGAAAAGCCATCACATTTTTTTAGGTGACAATAAAATGGGAAGATCAACATTCAGTCTTTAAACTGTGAAAACTGATTCAGTAGAAATCACTGAAAACTCTCCTTCCTGTCAAAATCCAGCCGAAAGGTCAACTCTTCCAAGCTTCTCTTGCTGCCTTTATCAGGCTGGTGGATAACATTCATTCACCTTTAAGACGCCTCCACTAGGCAGAGCCCCATGAGGTCCGCCACCCCATCATTATTCATATTTGTAATTCCGGGTACTAACACTGAGTCTAGTAACAGGTACTCGACAAATGTTTGATGAATTGAACATTTTTAAGATTCATGCCACCCTTCACTAATTTACCATGGCTGAATGCGTTGCTTGCCGGAAGCTGCCAAGAGTTGATGTGAACTCATGAAATTCTTCTGCAAACTCTCTACAATCACCATAAACCTTAAAACATCGGTGCAGGCAATAAAAATTGTTGCCACAGATGAGTCTTGTCTTGAAAGCTGAATACCCAATAACTGGTTCTAATTCTGATAATACCAAATTTTATGAAACTGAGTTAACAGATTGGGCCAGAAGATCTCCAATGTCATTTTGAAACTAACATTATTATATAGCCATAAATAACATGTCTCTTCTCCTCTCCTTCCACACATCACTACCCGTGTACTCCAAGGTTCTAACTAGGAGACATTTTCAAAACTCTCTGTCCAAGAAACCACAGGTACCACGTAGCTCTAACAACACACAACACCCCAAATTCATACCTGAGAGGAACAGACCAAAGTTTTTATACATAATGAGTAATTTTCCCTAAAATAGCCTTTCAAAAATAATAGGCACCATGGAGAGCCCTGTGCATAATATGCAGTATGATGCTAAATATGTGCATCGACCATTAATGTATTTAATTGTTTTAAGTTGAGCAGAAAAAGTACACAAAATTAAAACACATAAAAACAGGGGAAGGGTCATGATTAAATTAATCTAGAATAAGTCAAATCCTTACTTACTGAGATTTTTAATATTCTTAATTTAGGAGAAAAGAGTTTCAAAAATGAGCTGGGCTTTGTACAGAGAAATAAGTGTCTCTTAGATGAATAAATAAATGTATGCTTATATAATAACCACATATAAAATAAATGAATTTATATTCATTAAGAGGTCCCACATAGCAGCACAATTTACAATAGCTAAGATTTGGAAACAGCCTAAGTGCCCATCAGCTGATGAGTGGATTAAAAAACTGTGGTACATCTACACAATGGAATACTATGCTGCTGTGAAAAGGAAGGAACTCCTATCATTTGCAACAGCATGGATGGACCTGGAGAGCATTATGCTAAGTAAAATAAGTCAATCAGAGAAAGATAAATATCACATGATCTCACTTATTTGTGGAATATAATGAACAACATAAACTGATGAACAAAAGGGGAAAGATCAACTAAAGGACTTGTATGCATGCATATAACCATAACCAATGGACCCAGTGTCTGTGTGGGGGATAAGGACACATATGTAATACCTTAATCAATAAAGAAAAAAAGAGATCCCATTTTTTAGCACTAGATAAAAAAGAGGAAAATATGAAACTCTTCTAGACCCTCATTTAAGCTTTAAAAAATATCATTAGGCAATAGGTGTGTCTTTTTTCCTAATCCTTAGGAAAACAGCTGGTAGACTTCTCTCCAGAACCTCTCTCCAGTGTGTTTGCTTAGACACTATGATTTAAGTCCATCTGAATACTTTTGTTAAGGACTTGGCCCAGTTGCCCATTGATAATTATTGGTTTTACTTTATTTACTGTATAGGACCCTTCAGGAAGGAAACACCAAACTCTTTTTATGCATAGACTGGTTATTACCACTGCCGTATGACAATGTCCCTTCCAGCTTGAGCATTTTGGACTCCTCCTTTCCTGCTCTAGTGCCACCACATCAGCCTCCATGAATAGTCAAAGAGGGCGCTGCATGGTCCATGTCTCTGCCCCCAACTGGTCCGTGTGAGCATTTGGAAGTCCAGGGCAAGTGTCCAGCTATCTGAGCCTGCCTCGTCACTGAACATGGATGGCCAAGCCCTTACACTTGTG